ATGAATACAAACACAATCATTTCCACATTATTGTATGTGACTGAATGGCAAATGGAAGGGAGCTGATGCAAGGGAACTTTTCAGTCCTCGAAGTCTTCCCTTGCATTCCTGAAGAAGTCACTCTAAAGTACCAGAGGGCTTCCCTGAATAGAAGGGTGGCAATAGGGGTGGGGGTAGATTGCAGATACAATGGGAAATCACCTTCAATGAGCAGAGTAGGAAATAGGCTCTTAGCTTTGGTCCACCACATGTTCTGTACTTCAGCTTCTGGAATCCCTGATCATTAGCCATGCTGGCCAGGAACTGAAGCCAGAAATGTTTGATGGTCTAAAGCTTGCAAAGCAGACAGTGAACCTATCCAGACAAGAGAATTTAGAGTCCTCTCGTTCACACTTAAAAGGCTGTTATCCTCAGTGCAATCTTGAGTGATCCTTCCGTTCACACAGGAGATATGTATTCTCCTGTGAACAGAGTCCATACAACTCTTTGGATTGCCTATTTATTCATGGGTAAGACATACTCATCAGTAAGGAGGAGGAGGGGCAAGTCAGCAGTGGTACTGGCACGAAAGGAAAACATTGGGGGAAAGATTGGAGACATGGAAGGTAGGTTACTCCCCTTTTTTCCTGCCTTTCTCCTCAGCAGGGCCTCTGCTGGGACTGTGCAGCCTAGTGGGAGGGGATCCATGGAATTGATACAGCTTTCTTCTCCACATTTCCCACAGCTGTCATTCAGCAGGCTTCAGTGGCTTTCCTTTTTATTTTTATTAAATACAGTAAGTGCCATATTGAAAGAGAAATGCATCAACCTAGCATGGTATTAGATTTGCACTGGAGATTAGGGAGATTTTTTTTTTAAAAAAGATGAAAATAGCAAGAAAAGAAATTCTTGAGTTAACCCTAGTTAAAGCCATGAAACTTAACAACTGAAACTACCCCCCTTCTGAAACTGCCATAGAACATTGTTTTTTTTAGGAAACTATCATGACATTCAGCAATATTTTTCAAGATATTAAGCCACTTAACTTCACATACATTTGAAATGTACCAGTTAGCATCATCTTCTAATGAGCAGAAATTGCTTTAAAAGTATTCCATTACAGAAAATGAGGATTATTATTTTTTGTAGCATCTGGTTATTGTTACTGAGTTTGTGAGAAGCCTATAAGAACCATATTAACTGCAAGAAACCCACAAGTTTGCCAATGTAGCTGTATGGATCAAAATACATTCAGGGAGGAAATCAGAAGTTAGCCCACCTCAGTGGGGCTGTTAGAAAACTGCATGAAAGACAGAAGCAAGAACTTCCAGGTTTTTCCAAAGTTGCCAGACTGAGTGGGAGAATTGCACCATTAGTGAATAATATTCTCCTCCTCAAAAATATTGCCAAAAGTAAAATATAAAACACAGTCTCCATTCATTGTTTCTACTGGGAAAACAACATGAAAAGCAAATAACTCTATGATGGATAGAGCCACTGTATAATCGTAATTTGACCAAACTCCGGGAGGCAGTGGAAGACAGGAGGGCCTGGCGTACTCTGGTCCATGGGGTCATGAAGAATCGGACATGACTTAACGACTAAACAACAACAATAATCGTAATGATAATCAAAATCATCACCACTGCTTTTGTAGAATCTAGTGTGTTGCCCATCCCTGTTGAGTATGTTACACAGTAGCTTTATTTTTGTACCAGTAAGATTGAAAAAAAGGTCCTGCACTAAACCCAGAGTGCAATTCATTCCAAGACTAACAAAGCAATTTTAAGCATGTTTATCCAGAAGTAAATCTCACTGAGTTCAATAGGATTTCCTCTACAGTTAGTGTATTAGTGTCAGAGCTTGGAATTGCTTATTTTTGAACTATAATTTTCACTGCCATGTGGCTGGAAGATTCTTTGAGTTGTAGTCCCCAAAAGTAACTTTTCCAAGGTTTGTCAGAAAAGCTTTACCTGGACTGCAGCCCAAATCCCCAAATCTGTTCTTAATACTGCGATTCTTCTCTGAAATGAATAAGACTATAATTTTTATTTGATCAATATATATTCTGCCATTGTATTTTAAGGCACTTTCAACAATCTGTAAAATAGTCATAGAGACTACTGCAAAATAATCAGAATATTAATGTAAAAGCTAATAAATTCCAATGTAACCCCGAGCTTGTGGAATTCAGTGTAATTCAAGAGGTAGAAGAATGGATTTTATTCACTACAGGAGCCTGGAGTGTTTTAGCAAATTAATTATATTGTGGCCTTCAGTGATGATCAACGAGAATAATTTAATTCATTGTTAATCTTTTAAATGCACTATTAATGTTAATAATGCTACTTAATATTAATTTAATTTTAAATTAGTGTTATTAATATTTATATTAATATTAAAATTATATGAAAGTAATATTAATAATGCAAATGTTGACAGAAGTGTGCTTCTGGATGAACCTTAGTCTGTATATCCATCTCAGATAAATCAGGCGGCGGCTAATTACCCAAACCTTTGCAAAACCAATAGCTTTGGATGAAGGGGTTTGACCAGGAGGCTGCTGAGCTTTGAAGAACTAAATCATCTGTGAACTCCTCCAACCATGAGCATCAAAGTACATAGTGATGCAGAAATGCCTTCAGTCTGTAGCATGCTTTAGATAGTGAGAAGCTGCTACTACTCTACCAGCTGAAAGTTAAATTAGAAATGAAGAGTATACAAGTATGCAGCAGGAATAGTCCACATTACAGCAAGAGAGCATTTAAATCCTTGGAATAAGAGAAGTTTTTTGGCCAGGATGCAGCTGAAGAGAGACAGAAACTGGACAGACTATATTTTGGGGAGATAATAATGATACTTTTGTGGTACTGCAGTCATAGAAAAACAAGCAAACAGACAAAAAGAAATATGTAAGTTCAGTCATTAAAGGCTCCATTATATACTTGGGCCACATAATGGTTACCCAACTAAAGAGAAATCCCCTAGACATCATCATTGTACCAGTATATCCTCCAGCTACTGATAGAGATGATAAAAGCACAGAAAAAAATGATGAAGAACACAAATCAATTATAAAACATAGGAGAAAGGAAGACATAATTTTCTCAATGAGAGATTTAAATGCTAAGATAGACAAAGGAGTCAATGGTTATATTGATGAAGGTGTCACCAACATTTCTGTGGGGAATAAAGAATTAAGGTTTGTAGGAGGGAGCACCTTCCTTCAGACACAGCATGGAGTGAAGAACATCCTTTTACAAGTTCTTACTGTCACAATGGTTGGCTGTAGCTAGAGCTTCTCAATCTTAATCTTAATGGTTTTCATACCATTAAGTTAACTGCTCCTATTGTTAAAGGAAGTCACAGTGAAACTCTATTACAGGGATGGGCAAAGATGTTGTTAGGCTGAAATCCCCAGGATTCTTCATTAGCTATTCTGTTCAGTGCGAACCTGGAGGGCCACACTTTGCTCAGCCCTGCTTTATTACAACAGGAGAGTAAAGCCATCAACGACTAGTAATTGTGATATCTCTATATTGAGAGGCAGTATGTCTCTGAATTATTGCTGTGTGGGATGTTGTGCAGCAGAGCAATTCAACACTCTACAAGGCAATTCTAAAAACGGGGACACTCCGAACAAACAACCAAAAATTATAACTTTGAAACCAGCATTCACACTTGTTCAAAAACAGCCATGACAATTGCTTTGTGTGTGGGTGAGAAGTGGTTAGTGGATTTTTAAAAAAGGAGTCAGGTTCTGGGATGTCCCCCCTGCTTGGTGTCTCTTTCTGAATGGTAGTGAGTACAAGAGGGTATTGTATAGTGTAGGCAATCTCGACTGCTGACATGTGTGTCATCACATTCAGGCTTTACTTTGCAATGTAAAGCTTGGCATCCTTTCTTCTGCTGGCAACATGGACATGATGTTGTTCAACAATATCGGGCCATTTCTTGGCTGTTTGAGTCATGGGTACAGGAACACAATATCCCACATTCATAAACTAGATGGTGGTGGTGGTTGTTGCTTAAGAATTAAATATTTACTGCAGAGGAACACAACCAGGAGAGTGCTACTCTACTCACTTCTTGCTTTCAGGCTTCTCCGGCTGGCAACTGTAGTAAAAGAATGCTGGAACCATCAGGACTTGTCTTAAGTTTCAATATATTCTTGGATTTTCCCTTTTATTAAAGGTCAGGAAAGCTTTTATTTCCCTTTTATTGATTCTGACAGTAGCACAGCCATTGATTTTTTCAGGCAGGGCTTCTATTCCATTAACTCCTACATGATACAAATTCTGCAAGGGAATAAAATGTTGCAAATGTTGGTTTATTGCAAGCACACACACAAACACACAGAAGCACCAGAATTCTATGTTAAATATATAAGGCAACTTCATTTTGAAAGATAGAGAAACATTTACAACTGGATTCTGATTTTGCTAATGCAGGACTGAGAAACCTGTTCTGGACAGATATTGTCAAACTGCAGCTCCCAACAACCTTCATGACTGGTTACCACAGCTGGTAGGAATAGCAGTCTATTCCTGTCACATCTGGAAGGGCATGACATTTCCTTCCCAGCTTTTTTAAAAAAAATGCTTTTAAAAAGATAACATATTACTAGGTGTTGATTATGTGATGATTTCTCACAGGCCCGGTTGCTAATTAGACCTGAAGAAACCAGCTGGTGAAGAATTTCTCATAGCACGGAGACAAACATCATCACTTGCAAATATCTGCCCAGCAAGCTGCTGTGAAAGGTAGTAGCTACACAGGCTAATTAAAAGTTGATGAGTCTAATGCCTAGGCAGTGGCACCAGCTCAAAGAGAATGTGATCAAAAAATGACACAGCTGCTTGTAGACAAAAATGCCAGCTGATCTGAATGTTGGCACAATTAAATTAAGTGGTGGGGGTGGGGAGGCAGAGAGGGAGGGAGGGCCCCCCAAAATATTTTGGTACTTTGAAGACTGACAGATGTACTGTATTTCAGTGTGAGATTTCATGGATCTAAATCTGCTTCTTCAGAAACAAGAATTTATCATCCTCTTCCGAAGTAATCTCTGCAAGGATTGTGTTGAATTAGCCCACATTCAAATGAGTTCTGGATGCAGAACAAGTTTAAATTATCCTGAAATATCTGGTAAACAATTCTTTTTCTGATGGTTGTTGTAGGTTTTGTGGGCTGTTTGGCCGTGTTCTGATAAACGGCCAAACAGCCTGCAAAACCTACAACCATTGGATCCCAGCTGTGAAAGCTTTTGAGAATACACTACAATTCTTTTTCTCCTCTGCATATGAGCAAGCAGAAGCCAGTGAGCCTGACACTGAGAATAAATTAATTTGTGTGGGGGGGGATCCACTGTTGCCCAATCCAACTTCTGCTCACACAATGCTTCCCTTCCTTCCTTTGCCTTATAACAACCTAGTACTCCCATATCTGCTCTGGAAGGTCACTCAGACCTTCAAAGTAGATTTTGAAGGCACAATGTGGGCTACAGGCAAAAGTTACAGATGATATGGTGCTTTTATATTACCCTCCCACTGAACTCAGGGGAAATAATAGCTGAGGGACAGTGATTTCAAGACGAGGCATAGTGTGCCAGAAGAACCTTCACTTCCAACACAGCAGTGCGCTTGATCCAGTTCCCAACAAGAGAAAAATGTAAAGAGGAAATGAGAGATTGCATGTTTTAGCAGTTTCTAGCCATGGTATTATCTATCATGAGAAAACAGGGCTTCTTGATGGTGGCCACCATGCTATGGAATACATTACCTGCAGATATACACCAGGCTCCCTCCCTCCTGGCCTTCAGGAAACAGTTAAAAATGATATTGTTTGAAAAGGCCTTTAGAAATATCTTACCCCTTTGACACTCTTGAAGTGATTGTTAATTTTGATTTGCCATCCAGGTTTCTTTCTTTTTTGGACATTCTGTTATTAATGTGTTCTAGTTTCCTTTGTTTATGTCCTTGTTGTGTTTTTAAACTAAGAGTTGTGCTTAGGCACTAGATGGGTGGGGTGTAAATGTAAAAAATAAGTAAACAAAATAAAATCTAGAACCTCTCTGTCAAAGGAAGCCTGCCTTTCAAAACCAATTGCAGTGGTGCCCCACATAGCGACGATAATCCGTTCCAAAAAAATCGTCGCTAGGTGGATTTGTCGTTATGCAGGGCAAAAAAGCCCATAGGAACACATTAAAACACGTTTAATGCTTTCCTATGGGCAAAAAACTCACAGTTCTGCAGAAATCCTCCATGCGGCCGCCATTTTTGCTGCCCGGTAAGTGAGGAAAGGGTGCGAAAACACAGCGGGTGGCCATTTTCTTTACCCGGTGGCCATTTTGGAACTGCCGATCAGCTGTTGGAAAAACATTGTTATGGGATAATCTGTAAGCGAAACAGCTTACCGATCACCACAAAGCAATGTTTTCCCATTTAAAACATCATTATGCGATCGCTTTTGTGATCACAAAAACTCAATCGCTATGTGGATTCGTCGTTAAACGAATCACTCGTTAAGCGAGGCACCACTGTGCTTGAAAAACAACAGCAGGAAAGCTCTATTGACTCCAGGCTCTGCATTGCAGAAGAAAGGATGCTGGCTCAGACAGACCCTTTCTCTTTCTTACCCAGAAAGGCTGTTCTAGTCAAAAACAAGAACTGAGTGATATTGGTAAAGGTCAGTTATATGATATCTACTGTTGTGTATAGAGATCAACTCCACCATTGTCCTTTCCAGGTTTTAGTAGGAGCCTTAGGACAGCGGTTGTAGAGGCTAACTTTCCCTCCCCCCAATTATTATAGACGCTGGGCAATTAGCCAATAGAGCAGGGAGGGTTGGGAACCTCCAAATGAGGGGTGGGGTTTTTAATATATATATATGTGTGTGTGTTCCCCAGTAGGACAGCGGTTGTAGAGGCTAACTTTCCCTCCCCCCAATTATTATAGACGCTGGGCAATTAGCCAATAGAGCAGGGAGGGCTGGAAACCTCCAAATGAAGGGTGGGGTTTTTTATACATATATGTGTGTGTTTCTCAGTCTCCAGTAAATTGAATAGAATTATTACTGTGTCGTGGCTCTTTATTGGCGTCGAACCCCACTATACTGTATAACATCTATGTTGTGTTCCATCAAGTTAGACCTGACTTATGGCTGGTGACGCTAGTAGGGCCTCCATGGTAAGGGGGATACTTAGGGAGTGGTTTTGCCGGTGCCACACACACATGCCCCGGTTAATTTCCATGGCTGAGCAGAGATTCAAGCCCATTCTTGAGTCCTGCACCATCACATGATCAACTACAATATTCAGAGTGCCCAGAAAAAGGGTTACTTAACTCTGCCCTGAAAGCAACCAAGGGCAACGTGTAGCCTGCCAGATGTTGTTTGACTGCAGCTTCCATCATCCCTCCTAAGCGAGCCTGCTGATGGAACTCGCAGTCCAAGAGCGTCTGCATGTTACACACTCCCACCTAGGAGGGAGCCCTTCACTCCTACTCCTGAAGTTGCCCCAAAGGAAATGCTCAGGTTGAACTCTGTCGGAACAGCCCTCCTCAACGTCATGCAGCAGGTGCTCCCTCGGGGATAACGAAAAGGCACTTTGCACCTACTCAGGAACACGAAGGAAACCCCACACACACACACACACACAAAGTGGCAGTCCCTGTGCCTTTCCTTAACTGTGTGCAAGAGGGAATTCCAGCAGGTGTCCTTTCTTGGAGGGAGGATTAGGGCGATTCAGCACGAAAAGCCCCGACAGGGAGGGTGGGCGAGGGGGGGGGCGCCAACGCTGCCGAAAGCTTCCTAGTTTCCGAAGCGGCTCTTTGGCAACGATTCCGCGGCGGGTGGCAACGAGGAGAAAGATCCGTGCCCCCCCCGCCCCTTTGCCCGAGCTCGACACGGCTCTGCCGCACCCTGGGCTGGCATCGCGGCGGTGAGGCAGGAGAGCCTTTCCCGGAGGGAGGGACGGAGGGAGGGAGGGGAAGAGGGGAAAGGAAGAGGGGCGCGGCC